GATCTTGTGTTTGGCCTTCTGGCAATACCACCTCACTTTTTCTTTGAAGAGCTTTTCTGCCTCATTCCTGAGGTCTGATGGGACCATAAAATATGGGCTCACTTCTGTGGTGGGCAAAGGGCTGACCAATAAGACTGTACCCAAGCAGGAAAACTGGCTTAGACTGAGTTAGCCTCAAGGATCCATGTGATCCTAGAAACGGCTGTGCCCTGGCCTTTCCAGGGCTTCATTACTCTATTTTGCTTTGCTTCTGCAAGCTTTTCCAGTATCTATATCAATAAATTCCCCTTTTCTGCTTAAGTTAGCTAAAGGCAATTTCTGTTGCTTATAACCAAAGAGAAATTGATCCTGCAAGTAGAGACAGAAGTGGTACCTCCCATGGTTACACTACAAACTTCTCCCCATCCCTACACTGCAGCTTCTGCTATTTAAGAAAGTACAGAAACTAAGGGGAGAGAGCTTTTGTTGGGGGACCCAATAGTGGATTCATTAATTGGAAGGTAAGGCTATCTGGGGCTTCTCATGCAACCAGGCAACAAAGGGGAAGTTACAAGGAGCATAGCTGGAAATTGCAAGGATCCTGGGCACCTCTTTGTACTAATACTAGCAAGAAAGTGACCAGTAGACTGCTGCTACTGGGAGGCACAGGCAAGATCTGCAAAAGCTCAGATCTCTCAGGAATAAGTTTGCCAACCACATGTGTCTGGCTCCAAAGTTCATGCTCCTTAACGTATAACTTTCTACTAATATCAATCTAATTGCAGCTCCTTAATCAAGAAATTCTCTTTCTCGTTTCCATGGCTTTGTATCTGTTACATTGTCTGGAATGCTCATATCAACGTTCCAACTGGTAACTCCTAATTATCGTCTTTGAAACTTTCTGATCCCTATGGGTTGGTCCCAAATATCCTGACATAATATTCTATAATGTCTTAACATGAAATACACTCTATATGCTTACTGGATTTTCCCACAAGACTATAAGCTTCTAAATGGTAGAAACAACAACTTTCATATTTGTATCCTCAACAATTAGTACTCAGTATGGGAGTACTAAATGTTTATTGAAAGAATATCTGTTTTCTTAATTTTCTATTGTTTTAACCATTGCATCATAGATTTTTGGGTACTTATATTTAAATTAGCATATAATAATACTGTGTTTGGTTCCTTAATTATTTGATATGGTGTTTCCTAATCCTTCCAATAAGCCTAAAAACTTAAAAGCTAAGTCCACATCATTTACTAGTTCCGTATTCTCTTTAGTACCTAAGAGTGCTGGGCACATGGCAAGCACTCAATAAATATTTGATGGACTGAATTAAAAACACAGTATTAGCACATTAATAGGAGGAACATATCATGCCCTACCGATCTAATTAAAAGATCTGGCCTTCCAAAGTGGTACAAGTATACCCATATGGAAAATTTAATGAGAAAAAGAAAAATTATCTAATTGGACAGTTAACAGCTTTTCTCTTAGTAAGAATTCCACAAATATTTTCTAGATATCAAGAGTCAATCTCTAGAGCTCAGAGTAAAAAACTCAAGGTATAGCCCTGGCTGGCGTGGCTCTGTGGATTGAGTGCCGACCTGTGAACCAAAAGGTCACCAGTTCGATTCCAGTCAAGGCACAGGCCTGGATTATGGGCCAGGTCCCCAGTTGAGAGGCAACCGATCAATGTATCTCTCAAACATCAGTGTTTCTCTCCCTCTCTTTCTCCCTCCCTCTCTCTCTAAAAATAAATAAGTAAAAATCTTTTAAAAAACCCAAAAAACTCAAGGTATATATTCCCGTGCATATTGCAAGGTAGGTTTAAGGGGTCTGTCACAACCATAATTACATAAATTCCACTAACCCTTAACAAATCCATAGTAGGAATAAAATACACAGGACGATTTAATAGCAAAATTAATTAACACCAAACCAATCTATCTTAAAGGTATATACTATTATCTTTGCACAATATATAGCAACAGTTGTTTACTCATACAACAAACATTTAAGTGCCTACTAATGACAAGTGCTGTTAGGGCCCAGGAATACAAAGATGAAGAGAACACAGTTCTTATGTTGGTGGGGTTCTAGCTCTGCCATATTGCAATGGTATTTAAAAATAGGATGTGAATCGTACCTCATGGAGTTGCTCACCATGTATGCTCTGGGGGTAGCTGTCTGACAAAAAAGATGGATAAACACATATTTCAGGAAATGTAATTAGTGTTAACACAGAAATAAGTATAAGCTGTTATGGGGCCACAGAAAACAGCCAACCTACTGAAGAAATCAGGAAAAGATATTGAAGAAACTGACATCCACACATGAATTCAATGCAAGTTATGGCGTGAGGAAGACACCAAGACAGAAACAGCTGGGATGGAATCAAACCTGAAACTGTGGTTGCAAGCAGAGTTGGTAAGGTTCCAAAGCAAACCACTGTAGAAGGACCCCAAAATAAAATACTCCTTGCTGTTAAGTTTGAGAATAATGAAACACATATACAAAAGAATTTAAACCACCACATGGCAGAAGCATAAAGGGAGCCTTTTAAATAATAAGCAGCAACAAGGATCAAAGAGAGCCAGCCAATCACTAAGAGTAGAGTTAGAAGTACTGTTGGGGAGGGCGAGCAGAGAGAGGGACCTTGGTATGCTAAGAAAGACCAACACCGTTAACAAAAGCAGGGATCTGAAGTGCCTGCATATCTGTGTGACCACGGGATATCCAAAGATTCGTGTTGGGAAGCACTGGGGAATAAGGTGGGAATTTGAGTGAAGGCCTAATTTAGAAGAGCATGGAACACAAGCCTAGCAGATTGGACATTGTTCTAGACTAGCAATTTTCAACTGGTGTGTCACAAGAATTTTTAAAATGTGCAATACCTGACTATTTAGTCAGAGGCACTGACCTCTTTTTCCCTTAGGCTGTCAAATAAAAAAATGACAACAGCCAACACAACAGTAGCTGTCCAGTGTGAATGAATCAAAATTATACCTATTTTTTGTCAGACTGGCATAAAATATGTTTTTTTGGTGTGCTGTGGAATTTTAGTAATTAGTTTATGTGTGCTATGAAGTGAAAAAGGTTGAAAATTGCTATTCTAGATTCATAGTAGTTCTCAGCCCTGACTACTGAATAGAAACACCTAGAGATATTTAAAAATATACCATGGGTGAGACTCACCCCATATCAAAAGATAATCTCAGGAAGGGGGAGGGGTGTATGGGGCGGGGGACGGGTGGCCTGAGTATTAAAATGCAAAAGCACACAAAGTGATTCTAATGTACAGTCTGGATTGAGAACCAGTGTGCTATACAAAAGGAAGGTAAGGTAAGGCATGACAGATATGGTTAAGATCCAAAATTTATTTCAGTCCCTGTTTATAAGCAATAATTTTGAGTTGATTGTCCAGTGAAGCTTATCTTCTAACCTGAGTTAAACATTTTCAATTTTGTTTCTTTTCCCTTGTTGACAATGCTAAGCTCTGAAAAAGGGGAAAATAATCCTATAAAGTTCTTTTATTTAACTATTTTCACTGACTGCACAGTCTGCAACTTTTGAATTATTTCCATGATGTCCCATAGACAGCTAACTGCCCTTAGCTTCCTGCAATGGAGTGCTTCTATATTAAAGAATGTTCAATGCTGCATTCATGTCTAGATTTTATAAAATTTGTTTTTAAAATATAGTAAGAATGTAATACCTATGTATACAAAAATCACACTGCTTAGACTAAAGCAAAATGTGAGATTAAGTATTCATTCTTGTAGTACCTGGAGACATTACATTGTCCTGTTCCTAGTTTCAGAAATGCAATAATTACAAAGTATTTTTCTTATTTTGCAACAAATACTTTCAGAGTACTTCACAAATAAAGGGAAACAACAAATGTATCCCATATAGCAACTCTGTACTGCATTAAACAAGTATCATGTGTAGGAGGAAAACGTCATCAAAGTTATTGGAGAGTATGTCAGCCTGTTGATCCCTCAAAAAGCAGATTTGTTTGTCTTTTGCTTGCTTGTTTTTTTAAAGAAAAATCATAGCTATAAATATGCTGAAAGTCCCATGGTACTCACTGAAGGGTTTATTCAAGAAATCTGTACTTTGTTTATAGGTAAACAACTGTCGTCTTTTTATGCAAACTTAAGTTAGCCACTACAGTCTTGTTTTGTATGGTGTTAGGTCACTATATCTACTTAATGATAAAAACGGTGTGAGAACGTAAGTTGGAAGCCTATACCTGGGAGTCCACACACAGGCTTATGCAGTCTCTTATTTCCAGATGAAGTTAATAAATTCAAAAGACCATACCGCAGTGTAACCGTGGAGGGTACGTGGGGAAGGTAAAAAGGGGACAGTGAGTATGGAAGAATCCAACAATCAAAATATTAAACATAAACAAGAGCCCAGAAGTACTTCTCGGAAACATGGAAAAAGATTCCAAGAGTTGGCTATTAGCTTCTACTGTTCATGCTCAGAAATGAAAAGAATGGCTTCTAAAAAGAAAACGCAAGCCTAACTCTCGGACATAGCGGTGAGAGTTAAAAAGCAAGTCACGTGAGTCTGACCAGTGGGTCCCAAGGAAATTCAGAGAGCAAGGAAAGAAGAGGATGAAAGAGACAGGAAAAGGTGTACGGGGCGGGCAAACGCCATCCGGTGTGAACCTAGATGCCCAGCTCTTTATGTACCCAGGGCGGCGTGGAGCCTCTCTCGCTCCATGCCCATCTGGGGGCCGGGAAGCAGCGCGAGCCCCCCACGGATCTGGCACCAGGGGGCGCGGGGCGCCGGGAGGTCGGAGAGAAGGGTGCAAGCACCCCACCAGGCTCAGCAAGCAGGGGTCCCCACCAAAGAGGCATACTTTTCGCAGCCCTCGCCTCCGGGAGACAGGAGGGGGTGGGTGGAGCAGAGCCCGGAGCCGCCCCCCGGAGCCGCCCTCGCAGCCCCGGCCCCCGCCCCCCGCTCCGGCTGTCAGCGACCCCCTCCCGCAGTCACTCACCCGCGGGCTGCGCAGTCTCGGCCGCGGCGGCGGCGGCGGCGGCGGAGGCGGCGGCGACCCCCGCCTGGGTCATGATCCCAGGCGGGTACGGCAGGGATGTCCGACCGCCGGGGCGAATCTCTCCCTCTGCGGCCGCCCCCTGCTCCTCTGGGGCTGGGGGAGCGCGGGCCCAAGCCCTCCTCTCCCCCCGCCCCCGCCGCCTCTTCTAGCGGCCGCCGCCGCCGCTGCGAGCCCAAGCCCTCAAGGCAGGAGACCCAGCGGCAGCGCGGCCTCAACTTTCCCAGCCCCCCTCCCCCCGCCCCTCCCCGCCCCTCAGCGGCCGCCGCTCGGCACGCAAGCAGCCTACCCTGGGTGCGTCGTACTCCCGCCCCTGCCGCTCCGCCCACCAATCCAAACCCGGGGAGGCTACCGTGATAGCCAATAAGAGTGCGCAACGCCTTGCGCTAGGCCAGAGGGCGGGAGGAGGTGAAGGGAAAATCGAAGAGTGAACGGGCCTCAGGCGGCCCAATGAAGAGGGCCGGGGGGCGGAGGTGTGCAAGTTGGGTTGAAGGAACAGGAAATATTCTTAAAGGTAGAGTGATGGGCAGGAAGGAAAGCCATTAGATGAATGAGAAAGAGGTGGGCCTGGTTCCTTAAAGGGGACGCCTTGAGATCCTATAAAAGGAGATGTTTTAAGAAACTTCTTTCTATCCTGTTCTCTGCTATGCTTTCCACTTTCTGTAGACGTTTGCAAGTGGAAAAGCTGAAAAGAAAGAGGACATGGAAGGCTTCAAGAATGATTAGAGAGCTCCTCTTTGCCTAGAGAGTAGAAAGATGGGACGTGGCCTGTGGCAAGAGGTAAGAAGAATGAGAATCCAGACGTCTCCGACTGCTCTTTCACTGGAAGGTAGCTGCGGACCTGACGCTGCCTGATTTTGTAGGCTGCGGTCATGCCATCCTTCATTTGCAAAGAAGCACGGATGCCTGCGAAGTGGAGATGACTTTGTTCAGAAATATCCTGGGAGCCTCCCAGCTAGAAGGGAATATGTGGCATTGAGGGACGGGGTTTGGGGGTCCTAGAGACCTAGATCTAGGAAACATAGAGCCGCGGTAATGCAATGAAGACCTGAGGGTCTCCTAATTCCAAGATGGGTTTGGAGCCCTGGAACCGTGGTCACAACTCCGGTTTCCTGGTTTCACATCATATTTCATTAACCCCTCCCCTCCTGAAACAGGTGTCCTCCACCTAGTGGTGGTGGTCAAAGATTACCAAGTGCTTCCACAGCAAGGTTTTTAATGTTCCAGATCTCAGATATCCAAGGGCTAGATCAGGTAACTTCGAGAAGGTGGCCACAGGACATGGCATAATGGGAATTACTTAAGCCTGTGTATAGAGGAAGCTGACCTTGTATTGAGAAAAAGTGTAAAATTAAACAGTAACCACATCTTATGTTTGTACAGCAGCTTAAAAGCTATGAGCCCCAGTCAGATAGCTCAGTTGGTTAGAGAATCTGTCCTTCTGATATGCCAAGGTTGCGGTTCAATCCTGGGTCAGGGCACATAGGAGAATCAACCAATGAATGCGTAAGTGACAACAAATCGATGTTTCTCTCTCTCTAAAGTCAATTTTTTAAAATTAAAAGCTATGATGAAATAGAAGGCCTTAAAGTTATTTACAAATTATGGCACTATAGTCTGGAAATTTTCTTTTAACTCCTGCACCTTGGCATATGAATTTCTAATTGCCCTCTGAATGAACTTAGCTCATCCAAATCAAAGCTACAGGTGAATAAGGCCCTAGGACTCCGAGCCTAATAATATTTTTAAAAAAGATTTTATGTATTTATTTTTAGACAGAGGGGAAAGGAGGGAGAGAAACATCAATGTGTGGTTGCCTCTTGCATGCCCCCAACAGGGATCTGGCCTACAATGCAGGCATGTGTCCTGACTGGGAATGGAACCAGCGACTGTATCGAGCCCAATATTAATAGCACCTCCATGAAATTTTATAGTATTAGTATGTCCAGCTGTATGAAGTAATTTCCATTGTGATAAAAATATACGGTATTCTGGTTTAAAAACTACACTGGTTAATACCGTATCTATGGTTATATGATTTTCGAAGCAACTACATTGTGTGGAATAGGAAGTAAAATAACAAATACCTGTAGTTTTGATGGCTCAGATGACTTAAGAGATTCTTTGGGCCACCATTAAATACACAATACCTTTTTGGCACAATGTAGAAGTTTTGAATAAGACAAACTTTTACTTGATAAAAGGTCCAATGTTAGCTCTTAAATCCTCATTCCTGATTGAAGCTCTTATCTTCATCATGGATCTTTTCATTGGTTTTGCCCATACAACACTGCTTTACTGTACCAAAGTCATAGATATGAGAGGATGGCATCAAATAATCGCACCAGTCCAATTTGTGGGCTAGCTGGCGCCTGTTTATAAAAGTGAAATGTCTCCTTGCGTCCAGGCCAAGTCCATTTTTCACATGGCTCAAGGGAATCTGCTTTTCACCCACATATTTAAGACCCTTCAATGGCTCTAAAAGACTATTTGCATGACTTACGAACCTTTTTGCTTGGCATCCCGTTCTATTTCGTAACATCTTTTTTCCTACCTCTAGGGATGAATGACAAGGAGGGGGTAGCTGCTGACAAAACGGGTTGGGGATTAGGCCCGGGATTGCAGCGGCGGCGCCAGGGGGCAGCTCCGGGTTCTGCTCCAACTTCAGGCCCTCAGGTCTTGGAGGAGAGGGCTGCTAAGGGTGCCCACTTTGTAGAGACGACTGAGCGCGTAACCTGATAGGGTGCAAGCACGGGCGGTGCGTGTATCCTCTTCTGCCCGGCGTCCGGGCACCCCGCGCCCCCTGGTGCCCGGCCCCGAGCTGTCTCCTGGCCTTAAGATGCGTGCAGGGCGAGATGCTCCAGGCTTGCGTTTTCATTTCACAGGCGCTCAGAAATGAACGGCAGCGATACAAGCGAATGGTCACATTTTGAAACCTATGTATTTCCCTAAGAAACATCCCAGTTGTTTTTCAAAGTGGTTGAGTATTTCCCATTTTCAACAGCAATATATGCAGATCCCAGATACTACTAGCGATGTTGAGCATAGTTTCCTTACGTTCGTTATCAGTTGCATAGCTTCTTTGCTTTGCAACTGTTTGTCCTCATCTTAGGCCATTTTAAAATCAGGATGCTTGTCTTATTGAGTTGTAAAAGTTCTTTGTATGTTCTGACTAAAAAGTTCTCAGATATGTTGTGCAAATATTTTTGCCCATTCTGTATCTTGAAGAGAGAAAAACAAGTTTTATTGAAGTATGATAATAAACATTTAAAATGTACATTTGTCTCATCATGTATACACCTGTGAAACCACACTACAAAAAATGAACATATCCTGATGCTCCTCATTCCTTCCTCTTGCCCTTATCCTGCTCTCCAAGTAACCACTAATCTGTCACTACACATTCATTTTCATCTTTTGGAATTTTATATAAATGGAATATTTCAGTACATATAGTATCTTCTTTCACCAAGCATAGTTTTGTTTTTTACATTCATCCATTTTTGTGTTTTCAGTGATTACCTTTTGTTGCTAAGGAGTATTCTATTGTACAGATACATCATGTATTAAACACGGGCAGACATTTAGATTGTTTGCAGTTTTGGACTATGACAAAGATAACCAGAACTGTACAAATCTTGTACAGGATGGGGCAAAAGTAAGTCTACATATAAAACTTAGTTGTTCATATGAAACATACAATAAAAAATAATGCAATAAACTTTTACCCACCTTGTACATTTTTCATTTTCTTTGGGTAGTATACTTGGGTAAATATCCAGTGGAATGGCTGATTCATATGGTGTGCCTTTTTAAGTGTTTTCTTAAGTTGTATTTCCAACAGAATGAGAATTTGAATTGTGCCACATCTCTAACAAGTGGTCAGTCTTTTATGAAACTTTAGTCATTTTAGTTAAGTGTACAGTGCTATTTTCTTGACTTTAATTTGCATTTCCTTAATGACTAATGGTACTGAGCATTTCTTCATGTACTCATTGCCCATTTTTATTGGGTTGCTTGTTATGCACTGAGTCTTGAGCGTTCTTTATATATTCTGGATACAAATACTCTGCCAGATATATAATACGCAGTATTTCTCCCAGTTCCTTGGTTATCTTTTTAAGATTTCATTTATTTTAGAGGGGAGGAAAGGGAGAAGAGAGAAAAAAATCGATGTGAGAAACATCCATCAGTTGCTTTCCCAACACTCCCTCCCGATCAGGGACCAAACTGCAACCCAGGTATGTGTCTTTGACCGGGAATTGAACCAGTGACCCCTCACTCAACCAAGTGAGCCACACAGGCCAGGGCTCTTCATTTTAACACTGCTTTTCAAATTCTAATTCTTAATTTTAAGTCCAATTTATCAACTGTTTCTTTTATAGATTGTGTTTCTGGTGTTATATGTAAATCTTTTGACTAACACAAGGTCGTAAGAGATGTTTCTCCTATGTCCTACAAGTTTTATAGTTTTTTATTTCAATCTATGATGCATTTTAAATTAATTGTTGTATAATGTGAAGGTATGGGTCAAAAGTATATATCTCTGCACTGGGAAGCCCAGTTTTTCCAGCACCAATTATTCCTCCACTGAGTTGCCTTTGTACAGCTGTGCTACTTGGACAAGGGCTGGCTGAGTTTCATTACAAGCTCAAACCAGAATGACCCAGCTGAACTGCTCCCTCAATTCCTGACTGAGATATATGTTTCAGGCTGCTAAATTTGGGGATAATGTGCTACACAGTGATAACTAAAATATCAGGCAAAGATCACCCATTGTTTCTTGAATGAAATAAGCAAAACTCTGATTATAACACTTTTGACTAAGATATTAAACACTGAGTTAATTTTGTTAGACAAAATTATAAACCCATGTTTGAGATTTAGATAAAACTTTAGAAGGCAATTCCCCACTCATTCAACTACTAAAACTCCTTCCTCAGTGCTAAAAGAAAATTTTACTATACATGATCTATATTCAACGCATACCACTAATGAAATCACAGCCTTTAAGTGTCAGGTGTCTCTAGCAATTACATTTTTAAAAATATAGCAGCAGAAAAGACAAATCTTTTAATCTTTTTCTCTCATTAAGACTGAACTGCAGATAATGGGCAGTGTTTCTGGCAAGTTTCAAAAGGTCTGAATTAGGAGGTCTTGATTAGACTTTGACTATTTTAATTAGCTTTAAGCAAGATCTTAAAGAAATGTCAAAGTTTTTTGAAAATCGAACAGGCCAACAGTAAACAATGACTGTATATTGCTGCTGATCTCAGAATTCAACAAAAAGTGGGTTGGGGTTTTTTTTGGACATTTACAACACATCACCGATTACTACCAGAACATCACATAAGTTTATTTCAGATGTAACAGCAATGTAAAATCAACAAGTTTAATTCTTAACTGCACCAAATAAACTTAGCCATTTAAGTATTTTTAAAGTTATTCCCTCCAAAAAACTGAGGGAGCTTTTCTTTTCCACCCTACATAACACGGTTCCCAATAGTTCTGTTTTTGGAGGACTTTCAATTGATGAGTAAACTGCTTTGGGGATATTTCAGAACTTGTTACCCCAAATAAAAACTAATCTGGACAAATTATATATTGCATAGATTTCTCTGCAGATTCTTTTTTTTATTTTAAGAACCCAAATGCAATTGCCATCCAGTATAAATTTTTACCTATTCACCCCACAGAAAAACTATTTACCCTGAAACATATGATGGATATATCCTGTGATTTTCCAATTAATAGAATTGTTTTACTTTGATAATTTTCATATTTCAAAATAACCAACTAAATATGAGACATTATTTCAGTTTTTCATGACTCAAATGTATGAACTAGTGTCCAGCTTCTACCACTTCTGTAGCCTCCTCCTCCATAAGTGGATGGAATTATTTAATATAAGTCTGATGTAGGACAATTAACCCTTTACAAACATTTACAATTTAGGTTAAAGCCATTGACTAGTGTAGAAAGACAAACACTATAATGATAGGGAGCCTACACACTCAATTCAAAATTTAGTTATTTTTTACCTCCTTAAATAACATGTACTTAATTGTCATGAGGCAGCTATTCGGTTTTCAATAACCACATTTAGGGATACATTCATAGGACTGATTAGCCAGCCCAGGTGAAATGGTCATAGAAATAGAGGCAGTGTCATCTCAGAAAAATCATTTATATATCAAAATCTACTTTGATACCTGGAAGTTTACAAAAAGGCTGAATTCTTCAAACTAATTATGCCTTCTGTAACTCAAGCACTCTCTTCTTGGCAAGAGCAAGCTGAAGCTTATCCATGAAGGTAAAGGTGCTTAATGCTAAACTTTTCCTCTAAGCTTATATTTAGACTGCTGAAGAAACTGATACCCAAGAAACCAGCATGGTCTTTGTACATTTTTACTCTCTTAAGATTAAACCCTATAAACCCATTCATCAACTATCTTCCTTTTCTGTATTATTCTTGGCACTCAATTAAGACTGCTGAAGTCTATTGTACTTTGTACTTTCACATTCTCAAATAAGAATTTAAGATTATAAAATGTGCATAAACTGTGTAAAATAATTTTGCCATTTAACATATTTGAAGAGATTAGACTTTCATAGCAGAAGTTACATAAGATAAATATTATGAATCAACCTTGTTTTTAAAGTCAAATGACAGAATCTTCAAACTCTGTGCATTGTTTTAAAGTCTAATGAGATCATTTGCTGAGCCACCAATATTGGCAAAGCAGAAAAATTTATATATTGGAGATGGGACTATGGAAGAAAACATGAGAATTTCAGTTGTCTCCTATCTTACAAAAAGTCATCAACCCATCAAAATCACTCCTTATTCATCAGAAAATGATCTGGCATAAACCAGTCCTGTCAGTGGAGGAGGTCACAGTGATATTTGCATTAGTAACACTTCTAGACTTTTACTTTTCCAAGAATAGAAATAATATGTTTAACAATTCTCCCTCCCCCAAATCCTTAAACTCAATATCATAGGCACAGAATGTAAGCGAATCTGGGATATTCTCTAACAGATAAGCAATAGCACAGCTATGTTATTCTCAAAAATACTGTCTATATATTCTTTTCTATATAATCAAATGCTCAGTGGCCACATTTTTAACAGCTTGCATTAGCTGATATTAAATGCATTTACTGTGCCACAAGTCCGTCTAAGCTTCCCTTTAGGTATATTTTACTATGTCCAAGAGACAACACCTGCGTCAGCATTCTTTAAGGGGACTCACCTATAAGAACATTAACTCCATTTTTAAAGTTAGACTAACTACTGTAGGTTTACTGAAGAAAAAGGACAGGGAGGGGAAAAAAGTAAATCACAGCAAACCTTTTTAGGTCAGTTAAAGGCCATTATCTCTAGCTGGGATATTAAAAAAAAATTAATTTCACCAGCTCACACTCTAGAAGTTAATGCCACTATTAACAATCAACAGCAGGAAAAATAAACCTGCTAACAACCAGCCAACTCATTATCAAAAAGCAGTTTAACTCAAATACTGAGACCAAAGTCTAATAACACTACCTCCCCAAACTATCCCACCCACCCTCAGCCACCAGTAAGGAAGGAAGGAATAACTGCTTTAAAAAAAAAAAAAAAAAAAAAAAAAAAAAGGCTTAGTATTTCTTACAAGGATAACAATGGTCCAACTCCTGAGATAGTACTTAGAAGGACAAAAGGTGGAGTTGAAGGCAATGTCTGGGGATTAGTATCCCACAAACAGTCTTGAGAAACCCAAAGTACCACAAACACACTAAACTTGTCTATGATTAGAGAACAAGATATTGCTGCTGCTTTTTTGTATTTTGATATATACAACATTTTGTAGGCTCTGCACTTCAATGTGAAAGCAGGACATAAAAACAAGCTAAAAATAAACTGAAATTAATACCCAAATTTTTGGGACCAAATATCATAACTGTGAAACTAAACAGATTTATATAGTCTCCTTCCTATAATCAACCCACCTCACAACAATGAGAGAACTAAAACAATCCAAACATGATTAATTTTGAAAGTCCTCGAAAGTATTAAAACTTTTAGAAGGGAAGGAAAAACAAGAACAAGAGTGGGAAAAGCTTTAAAAGAAACTGGGGGGCAGGAGGAGTGGGTTGGGAATCAATGGGCCTCTTTTTTATTTGGCGACAAGCAAGTGCAAGGAAGTCCATTTGTAATGTGTTCAGTTGTCTGTCTTTTGCATGTCTGCATTCTGGCCAGAAGGGACTTTGAGGTTTTTCTGCAGCACATGAGCATCTGCAGGCTCTATCCTTTTATAGTAGTTCTTCTTGGTCTCAATAATCTCAAAGCCAAACTTCCTGTAGAAATCAATTGCTGATTCATTGCTGATCTGGACATGCCTGAAATATGAGAGGATATCAGAAAACAAAACAAAAAAAGGTAAGATTTCTTCAGCTTTTATGCATTCTTCAGAGATAGCAGGGAAAAAAATATTTAAAAAAATTTAAAAATTCAGTCTCAAATGCCTGAATACATCCCTCTTTGTAACTTATATATAAAAACATGCTGTATTTTGAAAATAATTTGAACTTTCTCAATTACTCCTCAAATAGCATTATATAACTTAAATCTCTCCTGCTGTCAGAGTGAATATGAGAATTTTAATGTCTATGTTATAAACAATCCATTGTTATGACCTATCCTTAGCTCTTAATCTGGGCTCTCTTAAAATCAAAATATAACATCAGCCAGATAATCTCTGATTTCAATTATTGAACTCTGCTGCTAATGAGCACATTAACTACAAGACTTCAGCAAAACGCAGAGCGCAAACAGCACAGAAAAGTAATATTAATAGATTAATTCTTAAATTTAAGACTTGAGTTTTAATCTTGATTTCATCCCTATGACTTTGGAATCCCTTCACTCCAACATAGTAAACCAAAACAAGAATATTTTATCTCAGTTTCTTATCTATTATTAAAACGAGACAATAAAACATCATAACCATGACATCCATGTTGTTTCCAGAAGACAATGAAGTGACCAAAACTTGAAGATTCTGTAAAGGTTTCTATTGCCAACTTATTAAACTCTTTTGGTAATATTAAATATAATTTTACTTACAGATAGATGTTGTCAAAAGTGCCGTCTTTTTCACAGATGTTTAAGACATGATTTAACATTTTAGTTCCTATTAACAAGACAAACAAATAAGTAATCTTGTAAAGATCAATCTTTAAATTACACATCTAATGGCCATCTAAACACTTACTGAGTCCTTACAGAATTTGAGGTAAACACTAGACATCCTGCTTTTCCAAACATTTGTTCTCTCTATATTATGTTTATTTCAAACTGCTAGTAGAAAAGTAAACTTTATATACAAGACATTCCAGGTAGAATGAAAACTGAAAAAACAAAAGGGATATTAATAACAAAGCCATATAAGGCTTCCAAATGAATTATGTTAAAAAAATAATTACTTTCACCTTACATAACTCAGTAACCATTTCCCAGTATTCCTAAAAGAACTGATTTGATTTACTGGGTCAGGAATGGTAACAATGTGTTATGCTTCTTTGAAGAAATTTTTTAAAAAAATCAATAATTTTACCTATTCCTAGCCTTCGGTATGGTGCCAGGCATCCTAGTGTCATGATGTAAAGTCTCTTCTGATTCTGTGAATGATCCACCCTACAGCATACTGCACCTACTGCAATATCATTGAAATAGGCTGCCATGGAAAACAAAGATATAATGTTCAACAGACAGAGTAACACATTTTATTTTATCAAATCTTCCCCAGGCCCTCTATAAGGACTAAACTTGCTATCAGCATTAAATTTTTATCAGCTATTTTGAATATCAACAACCTCAAAAGCCCTCTACACCTTCTTAGGCATTTAATTCTCATTGAGAGTAAAGCTAAATATGTGAAAACACACAGAAGATTTAGCATTTCCTTTTAAAATTCAAATATTTTGTCTTGATTTCTGAGATTTTTCTCAGAACCTGGATTACACCCATTTCTTCACTTGTAAAATAAAGAGATTAAATTGGTTAACTCCTTCTGCTCTACAATTAACTAGAGGGACAAGAAAATGAATAAACAAATGAAGGAAGAAAAAGAAAACATATTATACCAAGTTTTGCTAGCTCGCCAACCTCCAGCACATCTTTGTAGAACTTGTCATTATAGCTGACTGGAAAGATGACCTGGTTTAATCTCTTCAGCTGCTTAATATTGTGTGGTGTTACATCTCCCAGCTCGATCCGGCTACTGGAACAAACCAAAAAGTACTCAGTAAAATATAATTAGCAGTATTTGTTAAGATGAATATATTAAAAGGGTATCTTTTAATATATCTTTTTTACATGATTGATAATCCCATTCCTTTCACCATAATTTTATATTCCTATGAAGATAACTATTTATAAGCAGATTTTGCCAGCCATTTCATCCAGATTCAACTTACAGTTTTCATAGACTTGTATACATTTAGAGACAAATACAGTAAACAATTACTAAGAAGTCCAGAATAATATGCTATACAAATGCCCAAATTTTCCATGTAATCTACAGTTCAGAAAATTAAAAACATCTATTACTAATCAAAAAGAATGATGATACCTCATAAGTTTGACAGGTGGTAACAAACGGGGTTCTTATACTCTGCTGGTGGGAATGTCGATGGATATATCTCTGGAAGACAATCTAGTGCTATGTATCAAAAAGCCTAAAAAGTGCATCTCCTTTGTTCAAATAATCCTACTCCAGAAATTTTTTCCTTAGAAAATAGCCCAATATATAAATATGCAAGACTATGTACAATTTATTCATTAAGCCAGGAACCAACTACAGAATCACACGTGGTATGTATTCAAGATACAGATTCTTGAACTCTACCCCACACATTAAGAAGCACAACCTCTAAAACTCAAACAAGAGAATCCACATTTTAAGAACAAAAAACAGCCCTCTCTGGTATGGGCTCAGTGGATTGAGCGCAGACCTGTGAACCAAAGGGTCGCCAGTTAGATTCCCAGTCAGGACACGTACCTGGGTTGCAGGCCAAGTCCCCAGTGGCAGGGGGGTGTGCGAGAGGCAACCACACATTGATGTTTCTCTCCTCTTTCCCCCTCCCTTCCCCTCTCTCTGAAAATAAATAAAATCTTAAAAAAAAATAAAACAAATTACCCCACTTTGAAAACTACAATTCAAAAAATTGGTTCCATGGAAAAAGAGATTAAAGTTAAAAAGTTTCAGATTCATAGTAACAAAGCTATTTTGCCTATAGAGCTATCAACAAAAGGAATTTTTAATAACAAGTCAATTTTACAATAAACTAAAGGTTGATCAATTGTGACATGACAAACCTGAATAGCATCTACATGCCATTAGCACTATTGTTAGTAGATTTTGCTTATATACAGTATTTGTCTTCTTAAAAATCTTAACAGGGGGTGATAAAAACATTAACCACCACCAAATAAAAATGAGTTCAAAAATAAAACAATCTGATGCCAACCAAGCAGCCAGAAAACTATGTAGGTCCTACTCTTTCAGCGCTCGTTCCAGATCACAACTAACATTGGTCAAAAGCAGGAAATACAAACAATATAGCATAATTAATCATTTGCAAAACAGGCACATAGGTTTTGATAACTGTTAAAGAAATGGCTAAACAAGAATGCTACTCATCACACTTTTATAAGAACAAAAAAGAAAAGAAAAATTTGAGTGTCCAATAGGGGACTGGTTAAATAAAGCATGATACGCTTATTAGCACAAAAAGACAGTGTTGATATATGGTTTTGTATATAAAAATTATGACCCAACTTTTGTTAACACATACGAAAATATTCAAAAGCATATTCCAAAAAGAAGTGGTAAAAATTGTAGGTAATTTTTAAAACAAAATCCTCTCAAATGTTAAAATTTAGATAATCAGAAAATAGGACACATTACAGTCCTTTAAAAAAATAAACCTGATTATAGACCATTATGTTCATTTGAGAGTATAGCCTTCCTGCCTCAATTATTTCATTTTATGCTATTTTTTTAATTATTTGTGACCAACTACTCTTAAACATCTTACATGTCTTCTTAGCAGTCACACAAAATTTTAAGATGCAAATATCTTATAAAAAATAGAGATTTCTGCCCTGGCTGATATAGCTTGAGTGCTGGCCTGCGCAGCAAGAGGTTGCCAGTTTGATTCCCAGTCAGGGCACATGTCTGGGTTTCAGGTCATGTCCCCAGTAGCGGGAGCATGAGAGGCAACCACACATTGATATTTCTCTCCCTCTTTTCCTCTCTAAAAATAAATTTTATTTTTAAAATTATATATAGTTTTATTTATATATCTATAAAGAGATTTCTTTTCCACTTTCTAGCCACAAGAGTGAATATGAGTAAACATGGCCTTCTCCCCAGTATCTGTCAAATGAAATAAGTTCCCTTCGTGATATTCATGTCTTCTTTAACTAGGTTACATCTCATTCAGAGTTTCCCTTCTCTTTATAGCACACTCTAACCCTGGCTTTCTGGTTTTTATGGCTAATAAAATGACATTTTACTTAAAACCTTCCCATGATTAAATCTAGTGGGTTCACATACCTACCACCCACTCACAGGTTTTTTATTGGCAGATATTAATTACACTGTAAAATACAGGATCCCTTAAAATACAGAAATCACACCTTACATAAATGTTTATTACTATTTTAAAGAATTCCTCCCATTTAATTAACGTATCTATCACCTCACATATTTATTATTTTGGGTGTATGGGAACATTTAAGTTCTACTCTCTTAGCAAATTTCAATTATACAATACAGTTTCCATGTTATGTATTAGATCCTCAGACCTTATACATTTCGTAGCCAAAAATTTGTACCCTTTTACCAATCTTTCCCCATTCCTCTGCCCTGGCAACCACTTTACGACTGTTTCTGAGCCTTTTTTTTTTAAGATTCCACATATAAATACCATGCAGCACACAGCTATTCTTTAATTTTGTATAGCACCACAAACTGGGTGCAGTAACTTAACCATAATATATCTTTATTAGTTATATTTAATAAAGTATTTCTAGTATCAGTTTATCATTAGTTATAATTAATATAATTATATCAACACCTAAAAAAACCAGTCGGTTGCACTTAAAAAAATTTAGTCTCTGTATGTGATCAAAAATTACATAATTAGGTCTAATACTAAACAACAATAAAAAGAACCTAAACAACCTAGAAGTCAAGCTTCTCAATTATAAGTTAAAGATTTGAATTTAAAAAACATTTTAAGAAGGGCCCTGACTACTGTGGCTCAGTGGGTTGGGCATCGTCCTGCAAACAGAAAGGTCGCAGGTTGATGCCTAGTCAGCGTACATACCTGGGTTGTGGGCGTGAGAGTGGCCATCAATCTATGTTTCTCTCCCTCCCTCCCCCTCTTTTAAAAAAACAAAATCTTAAAAAAAAAAAAAATTTAAGAATGCTTTCTATGTAATTACTGCACTTCAAGTATATTTGTAATTTTTAGAATGAAAATAACCAGGTATTTTTTGTTTTCATATAGAAGGAAAAGGTGGTTGTAGTGCAGTGTGCTATACTGAATCTAATAAAAGTTATTAACTACTAAAAAGGTTTCCATTAGGGTAGACAGATCAAGCCTAAATATAGAACACAATATTAAATCATTAGGGAATAGGCAACTTAATCTTTCCCTGCTTAATTTTAAAATATGCATGTCTTCCACCACAGAAATGACTTAGAATGTGAAAATATCCTGTAAGACATGACCAGAAGTAACTATGATATATAGTCTTCCAATATTTTTCTATGAACAGATATACATATTTTAGAACATAATTGGATACTATAAAATTATTTGTTAGCTATTTAAGAAAGGAATTAATCAAGTGTGATTATTAATGAACTGCCAGGATATGCTATAAACAGAATTTTAAAGTGTCCATTAAGTGTAACTGTCAGCAAATTTCATCTTCAAATACAGTTTCTCATGAACATGATATGTTTGATTGAAATGGAATACTTCTGTAATCCTGATCACTTAGCTCTGAATTATTTTAAGAAGTGGATATTCTAAATATATCAGAGTAATATCATCAACTTATAAATATAATTTAGCAAAGAACATGTAGCATCAAAAGCAAAGAGGGCTATGTAGAAATGTCAAGAAAATGAGAACATCACTTAACTGTAAACAACCAAAAAGCTATTAAAAGAAAAAAAAATTAAATTACAAGAATTCTATCGGTAAATCTAAAATGTTCTAGACCTCTTGTTAACATCAAAGTTGCTTATTCAAAACATAAATCAGTTATTTCAATATTTGAACACCTATCTGCTAACAAGCCTGAAATGCAAAGGACTTAACACCTACTAGGAAATACAGGTATATACAATACAATGTGCTAGTAATACTACATGCACACAAAGTGCAAAAATAATAGCAGAATAGAAGTGATACTGGGAAAGGTTGTGAAGCAGGACAAGGAGTTTGTTTTGTGGGAGGGTTAAGAAATGCATTCTAAGGAAAGGGTAGAACATGAACAATATAGCCAATGATGAATTCCCAAAACTACAGGCAATGTGATATGGTAAGACAAAGTGTGCTTTGTGGAGCTGGGGTTGGAGAGGAAGAGCCCATTTTATGAGGAGCTTGCATATCAAGACAATACTTGGTTGTCTTTTCGATCTACACTTACCTTGGTGACCTCAATCTCAGCCTATGGCTTTAATACTGCCAACTTCCAGATTTCTGTCCCTGGTCTATAGCAGGGGGTGTCCAATCTACAGCCCACAGGTCACATGAGGCTCATGATGGCTATGAATGCATTCCAACATAAAATCATAAATTTATTTAAAACAGTATGAGATTTCTTTGTGATTACGTGTCACAATGTAATGTGTGGCCCAAGAACATTCTTCTTCTTCCAGTATGGCCAAGAGATGCCAAAAGGTTGGACACCCCTGGTCTAGAGGAAAACTCCTAAACTCCAAAGAATCTCTAGTATACACCTCAAATTAAACATAGTTCAAAACTAGATTTGATCTTCCCTCTTAAATGTTTCACCTGCAAGTTTCCCTGTCAGGTCTCCACATCCTTGGTTGCAGGTTCTCCTCTTACCTCCTTAAGTCGTTGTTCAAATGATACCTCAGGAAGGGTCATTCTGACACACCTGTTTTACTGTCCTTGTAATATTCTTGATAGGCTTTCTTATCAATCAAGCTTATGTTGGCTTCAAAGAAAATTT